TTTCATGTTCGAGCCCCTTTAATAAATGCTCAGAAACATGTCTTAACAGCTGAAAAAGAGGTCTAAAAGTCAATTTCCTCAGATTGTATTGCTAACTGCTCAACAGTCTGTTCAGCTGTTAAACGTTTATGAGCTAAACCATGACTATTTCCTTATAAAACATTCTGCTGTGAGAACCTGAGTTGCGCACAAACCCTCAGTGTTAAAGTTGTGTTCAATTATTGATTGCAGGCACAATCTGTGAAATTTTCAGGGTAAAAGCATAAAGCCTGTGAAATGAATCTATCCTCCTTGCGGGAGTTTCAGTAACAGCTCTCCAGAAGAGAAAAAGAGAGAGTTTGCAGTGTCTCAGCAGGTTCTTTCTCTTAGTCATGATGCACTTGCTAGAAATAGCACCTGAATATTAATCTAGGGGTCAAATGAAGGCGCAAACGTGAAATTTTTTCGTCTAGTTTCACAAAAATCCAGACAATTTTTACTGTAGACATGCATATCTTAAAGGAATAGTTCACCCAAAAATAAAAATGTGTCTGAACATGTATTCACCCTCAGGTCATCCAAGATGTAGAAGTTTGTTTCTTCATCAGCTTTGGTGAAATGTAGCATTGCATCACTTGCTCACCAATGGATCCTCTGCAGTGAATGGGTGCCGTCAGAATGAGAGTCCAAACAGCTGATAAAAACATCACAATAATCCACACCACTCCAGTCCATCAGTTAACATCTTGTGAAGCAAAAAGCGGCATATTTGTAAGAAAGAAATCCATCAAGGCATCTTTAACTTCAAACTAAAATACAAGTCCACTATCCATAATATTCCGGTGTATGCCAGCAAATTTTATTCAAAACGTATTATTATTATTTTAAAATTTGTTGTGCGACATACCGTTTTAGAACTAAGAGACAAATTAAATTAATACCAAACAACAAAATTATCTTTAAATAATGTATAGCATATCATAACGGAATAAACTGTCTGCTGGAATACATTTGAAAGCATTTTCCGATTCTTGTTGAATTATGCAGGTCTCTGCTGAAATCTGTCACCATGCATTTGAATGTATTTGCTGGTTTGCAGTCGTCACAGTGTTTTTTTTAGTGTTATTCAGTGTTTTTTAAGCTGATATTTTATGCAAAATGTGTAGGCCTAGAAAAAAATTATTGTGTGTGCATTTTACATACAGTATCTGGGGCTGTTTTGTCACTTTCAGTGGTATTTTTGCACGATTTCTGACCCTCCTCAGTGTTTGCTTTAGCTCTTTTTCATGGCTGTAGTATGATTTTGATATTATTTTCATATTGTGGTGTTGATAAATGTGTGAAGGATAATGTACAGTTATGGTAATAAATCTCATATCACCATGTTCGTTGGTTGTTTTGTGATTAATGTGTGTGTGTATAATATTTGTATAACTAGAATAGAGTAGCACTCTCAGCGCTAGCACTCAGGTTCAGAATTCTCTTCTCTTTCTGAACAGCACGTCCGTCCCTCTGCTTTACAAGTTTCTAATGTATGCCTTGTTTGGAGTCATTTTACCCATTTTCATTTGATGTCTGCTCGATCCCATAATTGTGTTGCAGTTTGGTTGTTTAGTGTTCCCCCTCACCCCATTCTCATTTCATGACTCCATTATGTTCTGTTTGTTTCGCTTTAGTTTTCCTGATGGACTGGTGATCTAGACAGAAGCAGTTTGGTTTGGGACAGGGAGGTTTACTCGCTCACAGAGAGGAAAAAAGAAAGAAAGAGGCTTCTGGAACAGAGCGAGATGAGTGTAAGTCGATTCTGTTTTATTAAAGCAAAAACATCTTTCACGTTTCACCACCTCTAACAACTTGTTTTACTTTAAAAATGTACTTTGCGCTCTGGAAGTGCTCTAAAGTGAGGCGGAAAGAGGAGAAATTTGGCGTATCACACGCATGCATAATGTTCCCAATCATTTTCCCGTTGTCTCTCTCCATATGTTCATTGGATGATATGAAATAGTGGAAATCCTTTTTTCATAGTATTCCCCATGAAGGATTTAGCACTGCAGGATTTCAACTCCAGGATTTCACTGAGATGTCACAGTTTTAGATGGAGAGCAAATCTCTGTAAATCTGTTTGTCTGTATTTAGACTTTAGTCTATTGTTTTACGTGAACCCATTTGCCGGTGTGTTTATTTTCATTCATAGTTGTGTTGCCTGTATCACGGAGACTGAGCGATTTTAGATCGATAGGTTGCATTAATACGGCACATCTATATTCTCTCGCTTCTAGAGCTCTTGCCGTTTCACTGTTTTTCTAGTGTTTCCTTATTATAATGACTTCATCTGAAGTTCTTAATATTCAGTTGTTGTTGTTTTTATTTGGAAAGAAATTCATGATTTTATTCAGCATTTATTCAGATCAAAAGTGACCGTAAATAAGTTTGTAATGCTATAAAACATAAAAATATTTCTATTTCAAATAAAAATATCCTCTAAAATCATGGCTTCTTTTATTCAGCAAGAATCATTAAATTAATCAAAAGTAACAGCAAATGCATTTATAATGTTAGAAAACATTGAAATATTTCTACTTTATATAAAAACTGTTCAAAAAAACCCTCAAAACTTTTACTGTTTTCAACATTGATGATAATCAGAAATGTTTCTTGAGCAGCAAATCAGCATATTAGAATGATTTCTGAAGGATCATGTGACACTGAAGACTGGAGTAATGATGCTGAAAATACAGCTTTGATCACAGAAATAAATTACAGTTTACAATATATTCAGATAGAAAGCAGTTATTTGAATTTGTCAAATATTTCACAATATTACTGTATTTTTATCAAATAAATACAGCCTTGCTGTGCATATGAGGCTTCTTTTTAAAATGTTGCTACTTAAACATTTAACTGTATGTCACTGTACATCCTATGAATCTGGGGCTAAATTGATCAGCTTTCAAACAGTGATTTTAGTACATGCACTCCATGCTTTTAAGGCTGTATTGTCTAACACGGGAAACGGCTTGGATGACATCAAACCCAACATTACTGTAACCCGCACCCATTCGGGTCGATATCAGTGCCACAGCTGCGTACTCATTCAACTGGAAACATAAAGCAAATAAAAACCGTTCACTGAGTGTGGTACTATTAGAGAGAGCTGAGATATAACTCAGCTAGGTTAGACTCATGCCTGAAGCCTGCCGGATCACAGAGGCTATAATATCCCGGTTCAGGCAGTGTAGTATCCACTGTCTATATATCAACACAAAGAGGTTGTCTGTTTGTTTGCATACAGTCAATATTGTCCATTAATCATTATAGTGCAGAAACGTCCTACAGTGACTGTAAATAAATGCAGTGTTAATATGTACACTGTGAAATCGCTGAGATGGATATGTAATATACTGTGATGTTTGTCTGTTTTCACAGCTTTACACAACAGTGTATGTGAGCGGTGCAGGGTTATTAAATAAAATAAAACCATAAAAAACATTTTCTTACTTGAAATAAAATATTAAAATGTATAATTATTTCAGCTAGTTAAGTTATTAATTAAAAATTATTTCAAAGCTACATTTCTCTTTCATTTAGTTTGTTGAAATAAAAATGATAGAAACTTAAACTGAAATAAAAATGATTAAAAACTCTATAGATGTAAAAAATAAATAAATGCAAACATGCAACAAAATTACTTAAACGAATTCAAAATATCACTGAAAAAAAATCACTGGAGCGGCGATGCCTTCTTGTCACCTGTATATTGTTGCAATGTGAATATTGCCTAAATATTTGTTCTAAAATGGGTGTATGGTATTTGGGTCCTCCAGGATCAGGATTGAGAAACACTGATGTAATAAGTCTGCCCTTGATGGGAAACTCCTGCTGCCATGTGCTCCAGCTCATTTTATAGACATAAATAATTCACACTCGCGTCCAGAGTTGCTGTGGCTCAAGCAGCCTGTGAAAATGATGGCCACATGCGATCGCTTCAGTTTATTGCACATCTCTTCTAAATAAATGGCTAAATCAATGCTTTATTTATTTATTTATTTATTTATTTCCAAGTATCATATTTTTGAGGACCCTTAATGCTTTGTAACTGTGTCCATCTCTGGTAAAATGCATTGATGGGAAGTCAGATGGTGATGCCAAGTGCGCAGTTGGAGAAATAGATGCTAAATTGCTAGTTCTTGGATGCAACACCACATATAATCTAGATTTATTGGACCTTAACCTGCCGTCAATGCTGACCTGCAAATGTACATTAAGGTGACCAGATTTCTGAAATAGAAACCAGAGATTTCCTAGTTCAGTGGTCAAAATATAATTGAAAATAGTTTTAATGTATAAAATGTATATATAAAAAAATAGTAAATAACCATTGCAAATAGCAAACAGTATTATAACATAATTATGACTTCCCACAAATACATTACAAAAATAAAAAAAATAGTACTTAAGATAAATAAAACTGTATTTAATAAATATTTTCAGTTTTCTAATTGCATGAAATATTTTCATTTTCACATTGTGACTATTTTAATTACAACTTTTAACATTTTATTTTATGTTTGTGTTTTAAGAAATTGATCTTTACTATCTCTAAAATTAGGCTGATTAATTGACCTTTTAGGCTAATTTTGAGCACAAAGTATGTGCTTTCTGCAAATATAATTGAAAGTGTATTTTTTATTTTTTTATTTTATTATTATATCAAAGAGTACTTTCTCCCTTGTGGTATAATTAAGATGTGTGTGGGAATTCCTTTATTGTGATGGCAGAACATCCGGGAACATTTAAAATTGTGTGCAAATAATGCTATTTATTGATATCAGACTGTTTTGTGCATTACGTTCTGTGTTTCTCTGGTTTCTGTGTAACATGGGATCACAACATTGAAATAAAAAAGACCACTGCATATGTTTTTCATTTACATTTACAATGATTCTGTATACAAGAACATTACTCATTTTGTCCAGAGATGCATGTGTTTATTAGCTGTGCATCTTTTGATCTCTGAACAGGTATATCCGTACAATGTACCTGGGCATCCAGAGTCGACGGCAGAAGGAACACAGGCGGCGCTTCTACTGGGCGATGATGTACGAGTATGCTGACGTCAACATGCTCCGGCTGCTGGAGACGTTTCTAGAGAGTGCCCCCCAACTGGTGCTACAACTCTGTATAATGATCCAGAAGAACCGGGCCGAGACGCTGCAGTGTAAGTCTGAACCGTACGTTAGTGGAGTTCGTTCAGTCAACTACAGTTTTGAGCTTGCAGTTGTAAACTTTAAGAATGCATGATAAATGCTAGCTAAACCGATCCCTCGAGTGCCGCAGGCCAGGATTGAGTCCTGAAACCCAGAAACAAGCATTTTTGCTCTTCCGATTCTGTCATCCCGAAGTCAATGGGCTTTTGGTTAAATGCCTGAAATAAGGTCTGTGGATAACACAAGCTCAAGATATCTTCATGTTATATTCTACAACATAATATGTAAGGGATAATGTACATCCAGCCGGTTGTTATCGCAGAATAACCCCCGACGGGGTGATCAGGACCCTTATAATCCATTACAGCATACAAAACAATCATCGAAACGAAAGAGAGAGCAAGAGAGCGATACCAGGATGACATAATTAAATAACTGTACGCATAATATTGAATTGAGTTTTAATATTTTATTAGCTAACCAAACGCAAAGCTTCCACGAAGAGAAAATGTTCCTAGCAAAGTACAGCCGACTTCAGTTACCCGGATGAGCCTGTGTTATTAATTTTTACCGGTTGTTATCGAGGGATAATATACCTCGGAATGTCGCGACTGACCAATCAGAATCAAGTATTCCACATAGCTGTATAATAAACACGGGTAATACCCCACTAATACCCCAGGTCTTGGAGTTTCTACTAATGAGCTGATGAACCTAAAGGCACAATATGTAAGATTTTTTTATTAAAATATCCAAAAACCACTAGAACAGTGTTCTATATTTTGCTGACTTGTGTACTTGCATTATCCCAAATGTTTCGAAGAATGTTTAAATCCAGAGAAATAAGCAATTTTAACTAGTGACACGGAGCGTGTCTATAGTGTCATTGTGTCGCCTGCCAATGACGTCATTACCATGGAAACACCAAAGACACTTTAATATGTTGTGCGTTTTAATAGACCGGTGACGACTGCACAGAGTAGCATTATAACAAAACTTTCACATGTATCAAGTATGATAAAACAGCGCTGTTTTTTTTCCCCACATACGCACGACCGGAAGCAGCGGAAGCGGTCGACTGTGGCATAATAAAAGCTCCGCTGCTTTCGAGCCGTGTGTCACGCTCGTTCAGCGCCTCGTTCTGCTTCGACAGCTACCAGCCTCACCCTACTTCATTCTACTACGTTAATAAATCATTAGCTCATCTATGAACATGATTTCTGCCCGAGTCCCGTCGGATTACATCGGCTGTGGGGATGAAGACCACAACTCCCATGATTCCACACTCAGTCACGGCGCCATCAAACTACATCTTTGCTTCTTTGTTTATTTTGAATATGTGCCATCAACGCTGCGAAAATTACATATTGTGCCTTTAATGAGGTGTGTTTGATTAGGGAGACACGCAAAATGTGCAGTGGTGGGGTGGGGGACGTGGTTGAGAACTACTGGCCTATGATAAGTATGCTGAAGAATGTCTCTCATCATGAACACCTCCACAGGTGTCTCCTCCGTTGCCTCCCTACTCTCACTGGCCTGGGTCCTGGCTTCGTACCACAAGCTCCTGCGTGACTCCAGAGATGACAAAAAGAGCATGAGCTACAGAGGCGCGCTGATCCACATCTTCTGGAGGCTTTTCACCATATCCTCACGGGTGCTCTCCTTCGCACTCTTTGCTTCCATTTTCCACATCTACTTCGGCATCTTCGTGGTCGTGCACTGGTGCGCCATGGCGTTCTGGATAGTGCACGGCGGCACAGATTTTTGCATGTCCAAATGGGAAGAGGTGCTCTTCAACATGGTGGTGGGCATTGTCTACATCTTCTGCTGGTTCAACGTGAAGGAGGGCCGAACCCGGTACCGCATGGTGATCTACTACTTCGTGGTGCTTGCCGAGAATACGGTGCTTACTTGCCTGTGGTACGCCTACCGAGACCCGGTCACCACTGACTCCTATGCAGTGCTGGTGCTCTGCGGGGTTTACCTAACCTTCGCCTCAGGGGTGATTTTCATGGGCATCTACTATGGGTTCCTTCATCCGATGGGACCTAAAATCAGGGTGCTAGCTAGCTCCTGTTGTGCCGAGCTTCTTTGGGGACTTCCGTTACCCCCGGAGGCCGAGCCCATGGCGCCCACCCCTAGACCGCGAGTGTCCCAACCCACTCCCTCCCGGGCTTCCATGGGGGCCTTTGGCCAGCAGGATGACACCACAGCGGACACCTGCCTGCCCGTGTTTCAGGTGCGCTCACCCGAGCCCACCACTCCCTTGGGCCGCTACCGGCCGGAGGGACCTCTGATCAAGATCGACATTCCCAGGAAACGCTACCCGGCCTGGGACGCGCACTTCGTGGACCGGCGCTTGCGAAGGACGATAAACATCCTGCAGTTCATCACGCCCGCCACCGTCGGGATCAGGTACAGGGACGGACCGCTGCTGTACGAGCTCCTGCAGTTCGAATCGTCCCTGTGACGTCTGACGTCCACGTTTGGTTTCAGATCTGCCACGTTCCGCAAAATGCATGCCATTTTGGTTTCCGTACAAATGAGTGTAAAAGAGTGTAAGCATCAAGCATTGCACATTTTTCTTTTACATCAAAAGCCTCCAGAAGATGTGTATATATTTTATATGTATATACTGTCTCTTTTTTACAATATCAGTTTAAAAATGTGTCCTAATGAAGGGATATGTATGCGTCATGGTGTTTACAGCCAGCAGAAACCATTACATTGGAAAAATGGAGATCGGTTGACCACATCAACACCGCCTTGTGTTCTTAACAACTTTTATTAATCTACACTAGCTGATCTTGATATTTCAGAGCTTGTTTTCACACTTGCGTTGATCGATATGCTCAAGTTGGGGTTTATATACAAAAAGCACCTGCTATAACCTAGATTTTCCACTTGATATTTGCATTGACAATAGAATCAAAAAACACTTATTCTCAGTAAGAGTTGTCAATTTGAGTAGGAAGTTCTACTAGCAAACTACAGTAGAGCGATTTGGCGACCTCTAGTGAATTAATCGCTGTATGCGCCCCTTTACACTGACCTCTGTAGGCGAGAATCCACCTGCCAAGTGGCATTCATTGTCTGTTTGCCTTAAAATCTATATTTAGTTTGTTAAAGTGTCTTGATTATTGTATTCTTCGGTTATTAAAGAAATACCTCATTGACTCCGTATAGCACAGTTCAAATCCATTAAACCCTTTGCACAATAAGCATGGTTAATATTGCACTGAGAATCATGTTGGATCTGTTTAGTGGGAATTTATATTAATAATTAAATAATAAAAGCACACAGCTCATGGATGGTTCTGAAGGAACAGCTTTGTAAAGAGAATGACACATGAATTGATGATTAAAAAAAATAATAATTCCCTCAATTATTGGGATGCTTTTGTTTCATGGCTTTGTTCACACCGCAAGCCAAAATCCCTTATTCTAATTTTTTTTATTTATTTTTCTATTTTATTATAATTCTAACTTAATATTATAGTTTATAATTTAGTTTTTTTTATTTAACGTTTGCTAACTATGTAATTTTAAATTATATAATAATGTTTTTATAACTTGCATTTCTAGAAATTATATATTTATTAGTATTTACTCTAGTGAATTAATCGCTGTATGCGCCCCTTTACACTGACCTTTGTAGGCGAGAATCCACCTGCCAAGTGGCATTCATTGTCTGTTTGCCTTAAAATCTATATTTAGTTTGTTAAAGTGTCTTGATTATTGTATTCTTCGGTTATTAAAGAAATACCTCATTGACTCCGTATAGCACAGTTCAAATCCATTAAACCCTTTGCACAATAAGCATGGTTAATATTGCACTGAGAATCATGTTGGATCTGTTTAGTGGGAATTTATATTAATAATTAAATAATAAAAGCACACAGCTCATGGATGGTTCTGAAGGAACAGCTTTGTAAAGAGAATGACACATGAATTGATGATTAAAAAAAAAAATAATAAATTCCCTCAATTATTGGGATGCTTTTGTTTCATGGCTTTGTTCACACCGCAAGCCAAAATCCCTTATTCTAATTTTTTTTATGTTTTTTTCTATTTTATTATAATTCTAACTTAATATTATAGTTTATAATTTAGTTTTTTTTATTTAACGTTTGCTAACTATGTAATTTTAAATTATAAATGCAAGTTTTTATAACTTGCATTTCTAGAAATTATATATTTATTAGTATTTACCAGGTTTAAAGGGGTCATATGATGTTGCTAAAAATAACATTATTTTGTGTATTTGGTGTAATGAAATGTGTTTATGCGGTGTAAAGTTAAAAAAACACATAATTTTTCCACATACTGTACATTATTGTTTCTCTATGCCCCGCCTTTCTGAAATGTGTAGATTTTTACAAAGCTCATCGGTCTGAAAAGCGAGGTGTGCTCTGATTGGTCAGCTATCCAGTGCGTTGTGATTGGCCGAATGCCTCAAGCGTGTGACGGAAATGTTACGCCCCTCACCATACTGTGATGCTGTGTCCCGGCCGGAGCGACGAGACAAAAACATTCAAACCCATTACAAACGAGGCAGTTGTTGCCTCGACAAGGTGGCGTTGTATGACTGGTCCTCTCCATTATTTCAACCTCTTTTCGAGCATTTATACTGCATAGTGTGTATACGGTTACTACTCTCATCTGTTTGTCTAGTGTCGTCATCCAAAATTCCAAGTAATAAACTTGTGAGGTGCAGAAATGTGGCTGCGGTTCTCTTGAGGAACCCTGGCCCACATATTTTTCCTATGTGTAATGACTTAATTGTCAGTTTTTTAACGTTTATTTTATTCTAAGGTGCAACAAGATGCTAAGCTAATGGCATTTGAAGTTATCTTTGCCTGAATATACCTGAGTGTATTTACACAAGTAACCTTGGCAGAGTCTCACCATAGGAGGATTTTGCGATCATCTGAGAAGAGGGTGATAATTGCCTCAACACACAGGGCTCGCTGCCGCTCGCAGCGCGAAACAAAGCCAAATCACATCCTCTACTGTAAAAGTCTCTCTCTGCTATTGGTGCATCCAGCCGCCTGTCAAGGTCATCCTCCTTGCTGATTGGTGCTTATAGTGAAGCATTTATTTCAGTTTTTTGTTTTTGTTTTTTGGTGCTACTCTGATTATTTTGCCATGTGAAAATTAATTGTAGGATTATTAAAAGTGCGCACAGTATTTGTTTTTTAATTAAGTTAAAAAATAAAAAAAACATTTATTTTTTAACTGTAAAGAATTTTACCGTTAAAGAAATAACTGTATTCTGAAAAGTGTTTAAAATGATGCACATTTAAAAAAACAAACAAAAAACACTTCTTTTGCAAAATGCATGAGATGTCAAAAAAGTTTAGCAACTATTTTCACTCAAAAATTTGCTAGTAAATTTCTCAAATAAATACACAGAAATAGCAGCTGCACATTGAATTAAACGTGAAATTTTGAAGTAGAAAGATTTAAACAATTTTCTTGTAAAGTGTACTCCAATCATTTACAGCTTCAATAGACTACTTTAAATATAATTATAAATAGCTCTTACAAACATTGGGTAAAATAGTCTGAGCAGACTGAGCTATTTTAAACAATTAGTTTTTTAATCAAAATAAATGTGAAGTTTAATTTTAATCAACATTTGCCATCTTTAATGCATTGCAGTGCATCATTGGTTGGGATACATGTAATTATGCCTTTGAATTTGGCCAAAAAGAAGTTCTTAGAAGGTAGCATGATTTATTTTCAAATGTAGCCTTGCATCTCATGCTATATTTCATTATTTCATATTTCAATCCTATATTTAAATTACAATAAGACATTGTATCAGCACAACTTTTTTGCATGCATTGGTCAGTGAAACACGAACAAAAAAATTACTTGGTGCACCTTTGACTTTGAATCGTCTCCAGTGTCGTGGCCCTTGCTTTTCACAGGAACTCATTGCCATTTTGAGTTTCCAAATAAGAGTGAACCTGAAGCAGGGCTGGCTTGGTGCACCACATAGAGGAGATCACATATCTCCTTGACTCCATTGTGCCTGCTTTGATCCCAACAACCAGATGCCATACAGGTGCATCCAGCAGGTGAAAAGGGTTCTTGCCAGGTGGGTAAAAGAGCTTAAGATTAATCTCCAATTGGCACGTGTTTCCCCTAAAATTGCTCTTTAAAACTGGGTCTCTTGACTCGGCGTCCTCCCTGGTTGCTGCTAGCCCTTCTCTCACATTAACATGTGGCTCAGGTGTATTCTGGTGCAGATATTCATGTTTTAGATTTCCCTGCAAATATAAATCTATAGTAATCCTATATAAATCAATTGAGGGCAGTCCTCCTCCAGCGTTCATTTCAAGGCTGTGTGTGTGATTCCTGTGCATGTTTTGCTTTGATTTCACTCGTCCTCTGCATTCTGGATCACTGTTGTTTGCTGGAGAAACCTGCATCTTTTCATGCTATCATTTTAAGTTTTGCCAAAGTTTTTTTTTTAATGTTTTTGATGGCTGCCAGATGTGCCGTACTATGTGCATTTTCACTCATGCACATCTGTGCTGTAAATATTAGGCCCCTATTGGCCTCCTCCGGGCACTAATACACTGTGATTAGTTCTCCTCCTAACCAAGCAGTGAGCATTCAAATGCATTCAGCTTGTTAAGTCTAAGGTTTAGAAACAAGCGTTCACTGCTGAGGACTGTATTATGAAATATAACCATGCTGAAAACACCTCAAGCATTACTGTTGTCCTGTTAGACAGTACTTGCAATGATGAAGTCAAAATTAATGTTTTGTTTACTCAGGCATTTTATTTCCCTCTGACAGACTTGAATATGTCAAACTGAAATGTTCATCAGCTACTGTCAGAGAATGCAAGGGCTTCCTTGATATAGACAGTATTAGACAATACTGCAGCATCCAATTATGGATTTATTATTATATGTTGTATTATAAAAAATATAATATATAATAATGAAGCATTCAGCTAATACCACTGTGTTAAACTAGATCCTTATTTATTGGTTCCATAAAGAACCTTTAACACCCATGGAACCTTTTCAGGTTCTTTATCATGGAAAAACACTCTTAAAAATAAAGTTTCTTTATTGTAATCGATGGTTCCACAAAGAACCTTTAACATCAGTAGAACCGTTCTATTGTATAAAAAGGTTCTTTACACACTCACACACTTGTTTCAACCCAGCTTTGGGTCAAATTTGGACTAACCCAACTTTTGGGTTAAAATTTTAATGTAAAAAATGTAACCCAATGATTGGGTTAGTCCATATTTGACCCAAAGTTGGGTTGAAACAACCCAGCATTTTTTAGAGTGCAGTGGAAAAAAGGTTTTGTACATCATTAAAATGCCCTTTACCCTTAAAATAAAAAAGGTTGTTTTTGGCACTGATGGTTCCATGAAGAACCTTTAACGTCTATGGAATCTTTTCATTCCACAAAAGGTTCTTAATAGTTGAAAAATGTTCCTAGAATTATTCAGATGTTCTTCGTGCTAAGATAAAAAAATGATTATTTTAAGAACTGTTCACTAAAAGGTTCTTTGGGAAACCGAAAATGGTTCTTCAGTTGCCTTGCTGTTAAACACACACACACACACACACACACCAAAAACAAAACAAAGAAATTTTATTTGTAGAAGTGAAGGTATTTTAGAATTATTCAAATCTTCTTCACACTTAGAAAAAAATGGTTCTTTTGTAAACTGTTCGTTGAAAGGTTCTTTGAGGAACCCAGAATGGTTCTTCTGTGGCATTGCTGCAAGGGGAAAAAAACCTAAACTAACCCTTTTGGAAGCTTTATTTTTAAGACTGCACTTGATTTTCAGACATTTTAAAGATGGTATTAGTTATGATGTCATCCTGTCGATAGGAATTTTCATTTGCCATTATTCCATTTTTCACCCATTTATTTTACCCTGTGGTGCCTTATAACGTCGGTGCTTCTGCCCGCCAAGGCAACCAGTTCAGCAAACAACAATGCCAGTATATTTCTATTTTGTTGTCTTTCAAATGTGCCAATGCAGTAAATGGAACTGTACATAAACACATGTAACATAGCAACAGGACAGAACGATGATGTAAACATTCCAGCATTGGCGTAGTTATGGGACTGCATTGGAATAGACGCTCCACAGACGGCGGTGAAGCAATACTAGAGATCGGCCTTATTAAAAATGACAGAATAAACATATTTATAATCCATTATGGCGTTGTGTTGCAAACGTTAGGGCTAAAGTTGATTTCTGTATGTGATGTCCAGTACTGCTTCACCGGTGATGAGAACAAGATCTTCA